AATAATAATAATAAACAGCTCCAAATGTCTCATTTAATGATGTTTATTGTTTTTAGATGAAATCACAAAATATGTTTGTCAGCTTGCAAGTCTTTTATCTAAAGTGCATAGTTAGGAATGATATGCATTCTTGCAAACATTTATGAAAAGCTAAATACACCGACATCAATCAGTTTTCAACTAAACTATATTTGTACAGCACCTATATTTGTACAGCACCTATATTTTGCACAGCACCTATATTTTACACAGCACCTATATTTTGTACAGCACCTATATTTTGTACAGCACCTATATTTTGCACAGCACCTATATTTTGTACAGCACCTATATTTTGCACAGCACCTACATTTTGTACAGCACCTATATTTTGCACAGCACCTATATTTTGTACAGCACCTATATTTTGCACAGCACCTATATTTTGTACAGCACCTATATTTTGCACAGCACCTATATTTTGTACAGCACCTATATTTTGCACAGCACCTATATTTTTTACAGCACCTATATTTTGCACAGCACCTATATTTTGTACAGCACCTATATTTTGCACAGCACCTATATTTTGTACAGCACCTATATTTTGCACAGCACCTATATTTTGTACAGCACCTATATTTTGTACAGCACCTATATTTTGCACAGCACCTATATTTGTACTACACCTGTATTTGTTCAACACTATATTTATACTATATCTATATTTGTATAACACCTGTACTTGTACAACAACTATATTTTCAGGGCACCTATATTTTTTCAGTACCCATATTTGTACAACACCAGCGCATGATATATAGTGGTATTGTTTTAAGAAAAGACTTTATTTAAAGACAAAATGGATATCATTTCATGATTTTGAAGGTATCCTGGTATATAAAAAGTAAACAAACTGAAAAGGACAATTTTGTTTACTTGTTTGTATATCCTGTTCTAACATTTATTAGTTTTCTATGTGCTTTCTTTGCTATCCTTTATTTCATAAAACCTTGAAATATTTGTTACACATTCAGTTTTCTATGTCTACAGTGCAAATTACATTCTTCAGTTAAAGAGAGGCGACGTTTTCATGTGATAATATATCAGTTATCTAGGATGGATTTCCTAACAGAATATAATAGAAAAGTTCTCCTATGAGAAGGCAACAGCTCGAGCCAAGCTAGCTTTCATAATAGAATATTTCAATTATCGAGCAACGTTTTAAGGTTCAAAAAGTTATTTAAGACAAAGTATAGAAATGCAATGTAATACATAGAATCGAAGAAAAAAAATGGATTCGTTACTTATGAAGTCTTCTGAATTGCTTGTAATAGCAAAATAATACAAGATTAATATCGTTTCTAAATTAGATAAATTACTATATATCTCTGCTTTTAAAAATATAACTACGTATAAATATGCTTCAACATTTGAAAATAGTTAATATTCTAATCGCTTTGTAGTCCAGTTCAAGTATTTCTTTCCTTATGTTCTGTGTAAATTTCCTATTGAATCGAAACAATAATATCCTTTATCTGAATAAAATGCTTGGTAGATAGCCTGATCACATTAATCCATGCCCCAGATTCCAATCGTTTGGAGATTTCATTTAAACCAAGTAGCATAATCAGTACTGGCAAGTTTTCTCACGTATCCACGCTGGCAGAACCAAAGGCGAACTTCTTAGTTCACTCGGAACTCCTTAGTTCACTCGGAACTTCTTAGTTCGCTCGAAACTCCTTAGTACACTCAAAACTCTTTAGTTCACTCGACCCTCTCGGGGCCAGTAATTACAAATGATTATATAACTTAAAAACTGTGTACCCGTACTTTTTGACACGACATTATAACAATAGTAATAAAAGAGAGAAAGGAATTAGAAAGGGACAGAGCATTTTTTTAAAAATTCAGTCGAGATAATACGTTTATAAACTGTGAGAAAATAATAGTATTGTATCAATCTTCAACACCAACCAGAATAAATTTACTTTATGAACAATACGTGCAGAAAAAAACATAAACATTTGAATTAATTTGTAAAAGAAATGGGTGGAACCTTTTTTGACAATATAATTAATTTGTATTATCTATGTTTTGAATATCAAGAGCTTTGCACTATCCGGTGATGTGTGCTACAGACATTTATTTTATGCAAGGTGATCAAAATGCTGTTTTGTGAAAAGAAAAGAAAACTATCTATTTGACTGTAAGAGCAACGAAATTCCTGATTAGACAGTTTTCGTGTGTTGTATGATAGTTAGGGTCATACAACAGCAACGAATTGTGAGGTAAAGGATTTGAAATGAGCTCAACGATATTAGTTATACTTTCTTTCCGTACAGCCGCTAAGTCCGGGACATAATTAATATTTTCAGGGCTTTGACTTATCACATCAACAAATGTCGACTTTGTCATCTCATATTTACACTTCAAATACACTTGAAATACAAACGGTTTATGATTTATCCAAGCAGACTATAACGGAGACTTCCAGAAGTAAAATATACTACACATGTCAGGACTATTTTCTTGCATTGAAAATTCTTTCTTTTTTCCTTCGTTCTACCATCTCTGTAGCCATTCGTCAACCAGTCAGTCATTTGTAGAAAGTTTGCAATTTATAATCGTGCTTTCTGTCAGATGAGTATCGATATCCATGGTCATGAATATAAAGGAGTCTTAAATCTGTTCCCATTGCTGGCGATGTCATATTAGCGAAACCAAAAGATGGCGAGGGAAATTATTAATCTTATACGTGATTAGTGTGATTGATACAATTTAACTTGCATTCGAAATGAAACTCACAAAACTGGCCCACAAAAAAGTGAAGGAAGGGAAAATATAAACTAGGGAAATTAAGACTGGTAGTATGGTTCTCGAATTTATTGTAAAATAATTTTGTCCAGATTTGCTGGGTTAATATTTGTATTTTTAGAACCAGCTTTGTCTATTTATTCACTCTTTATATCATGGAAACTAATACCCATAACAACATACTAAGAAGAAATAATGTAGTCAACCCTTAAATGAGTCTGATAACACCCGTCAACCCTTAAATGAGTCGGATAATACCCGTCAACCCTTAAATGGGTCGGATAATACCCGTCAACCCTTAAATGAGTCGGATAACACCCGTCAACACTTAAATGAGTCGGATAATACCCGTCAACCCTTAAATGAGTCGGATAACAAACGTCAACCCCTAAATGAGTCGGATAACACCCGCCAACCCCTAAATGAGTCGGAAAATACCCGTCAACCCTTAAATGAGTCGGATAATACCCGTCAACCCTTAAATGAGTCGGATAACACCCATAAACCCTTAAATGAGTCGGATCACACCCGTCAACCCTTAAATGAGTCGGATAATACCAGTCAACACTTAAATGAGTCAGATAATACCTAACTACGATTTAATGAGTTGGAAAACACCCGTCAACCCTAAATGAGTCGGATAACCGTTAGTATCAGATAAGTCGGGTATTACCTTTCAGCCTCATATGAATAGGATAATATTTCCGTATATATAAGATGTTCAAGACGTGCTTATTATTATAGTAGAAAGATGTATTATACGAATACGGGGTTACGATCGTTTGAATGTGTTACATACTGATTACAGAAGGAACATGAACTATGTGCTGTATACATTTTACCCCAAACACTCTTTGGATTCAACAACTTTTTAAAGGTAACTGAATGAGTTTAGTACAAACCATCAGATGTGATCACAACGAGATCACTAACTCATTACGACCTTTTGATGCTGACCAACATTGTTTAGCAATAACAGTCCATCTAAATGCTTCTTTCGACAGATACTTTTATAAAATAAATGCACATATATTTTAAACGGCAATTTTTGTAAGACTGTTTACATTGACTACAGATTTTTTGTGTACAAATGGATTACTAAAATCTAAGGACTGACACTTTCATAATAAGCCCATGCTGCAAATTTATTGTCTGACGTATTTGATCTTGCCCTGTGTATTTCTTTCTTTCAATTTGATTTATGAGTTCCATATCGTTCAACATCTTGATAAAGAGTATTAAAGAATTAGACCAATAATTACCTTCAACAGAACACAAAAATCGACGAATACCTACCTTTGACTGAACGCAATAAAAGATGAATCGCACCTTCCAAAAGACAAACAAAAAAGGATCAATTCCTAACTTCTACGGAACACAAGAAACGTTTTATCTGTGTTCAAGTTAATCTCTCTGAAATTTCTCGTAAAATCAGTTTTATCTACTTTAATCTTCTTGAAGTAATTCGATTGATTGCGACTGACAGCAGGGAAAGCGAACTTGAAAGACATCAGAGAATCGCAGGTTTGTTCAATTTTGGTGGACCTTATTTTCTTGTTACTGTTTTCTTTTTCTAATAACAGACTATATTTTGTGACATTGAAGATGAATAAATAATCTTAGTAATATTTATAGTCATGTAGCATATCACAAAAGAGATATTTCATGCAAATCAGTAATAATTCAGCCTCTTTATTTCCATTGTTTGTATAAAGACAGTTGCGTTTAAAAGACGATATTTAACAATTTAGTGAGTTTAAATTTAAACTAAAACTTTCATAGCAGTGACACCACTTTCGAGTGTGTTGTGACTGGTTACCTCAGACTGTTTTCGCTTTACAAATATGGCATAGCATTAGTTTATAACGGTCAAAATAGGCAGCAGGATACAAATAATAAAGAGCTATCTGAAAGTAAGCAATCTGCCAATGATAAAAGAAAATACAACTGAAAACGAGAATTACATAAACAGATTTCAGCGAATGATTGATAGTGAGTGATTTGGATTTTTAACGTAGCTTTAAAACAATTTCAGTGATATCACTACGATGTATGTAGTTTGGCAGTTTATAGTGATGTCTTTCACTAGGACATTTTGCCCAGTCACATTATCTTGATTCCAGTCCGACCAGTCCAAACACGAACCTCTTAATGCTGAGTGCCAAGCCAGACAGCTGTTGGTACCATTTTTATAATTCTTTGATCTGACTCGGCCTGGGTTCAAACCCGCGACTTCCCGGATCCAAGTCGGATGCTCTAACCACTAGGCCACAAAAGCAGTCCAAGAATTGATTGACAGACAAACTGATGGATTTATGAATAGAAGAAACATAGGCACTAGAATAAACAATTACATAAAATTAGTGGAAGAATGAGCCTGAAATAAATGGCATTTATTGTTCCATAGAAATCGACATTCAAGCGGTCCTTTATTTCTTGTGCATTTGAAGTTTGAATAAGGGATGACAAAGTCGATATTTGTTGCTGTGATAACTCAAAACCTGGAGATATTAACTGTGTTCCGGACTTAGGGCCGCGACATTAGGAGTAATACCAGTGATCTAATATTCAATCCGTTACAACATCGTTCTTTGCCCTTATGTGACTCTGACTACCACACAACAAGTAAGTGACAGTTCATTCGGATTTCGAATTTTCGCGTGACAATAGAAGCTTTTAAAGGCTGAATATTTTGATTAGCTTTTATAATAGTGATATCGGCAATGCGTATCCGGGATAAAACTAAAGCTTTCAAGAAGTCAAAAAAAAGGGTTTTTATTACAGCTTAAAGTAAACTAATTATATAGTCAAATAGATTATTTAATTAAAGTCTCCAACCCGTTCTTTTCAAATTCATATGAACTTTTTCCAGTATGTATATATATATATATATATATATATATATATATATATATATATATATATATATATATATATATATAAATATATATATATATATATATATATATATATATATATATATATATATATATACTTATAAAGGAAAGGTTGATGTTTATGCTGTGTACAACAATGAAATTTGATTGTTTATAACAAAATATATTTTCGTTTGTATTTATTTCTGGTTACAAACCGATTCATGTTCACTTGTACGTCTTTCTGGTTACAACCCGATTAATGTTCACTTGTGTGTCTTTCTGGTGATTTAATGTATGCAGGGTACGAATGAGCTGAACCAGTTTGAGAGAGAGAGAGAGAGAGAGAGAGAGAGAGAGAGAGAGAGAGAGAGAGAGAGAGAGAGAGAGAGAGAGAGAGAGAGAGAGAGAGAGAGAGAGAGAGAGAGAGAGAGAGAGAGAGAGAGAGAGTTTTTTTTTTAAAGAAATGAGGTAATATATTACTCGGTCATGGAGTCCAATCTACACATAGACGAATCTTTCTTTTGAATACACACTCGCATGCAATCAGAAATATAAAATTGTGGCACTACACCCAAAAAAATCACTTATGATGTTTCTCCACTGTTTTTCTGTGTTTTTCATCGAATAATAAAAGAAAACAAGACAAGAAGATGTCCGAAAATAAATTATATTGGTACTGTTATGTACTTGATAATATATAAATATATCTGAGGTGAAGTTGGTAAGTTAATATGTCTTTTTCAAGGTAGGAGATAGTTACTATTGTTGAGCTTGTGTTTTACGGCACAACAACACAAGTAGGTCGAAGCATTGGGGAAAAGTTCCTTTCACATGGACATGCTACGGCAGTCGATCACGTCTGGTCTGATTGTAGGATTTGAACCCACGCCTTTAGTTATCAAGTACAGCTCGCAAACCACAAAGCCACCGCGCCACCACCCACTCTCTCTGTCTCTGTCTCTGTCTCTCTCTCTCTCTCTCTCTCTCTCTCTCTCTCTCTCTCTCTCTCTCTCTCTCTCTCTCTCTCTCTCTCACGCACACACACACGCACACACTTACATTCATACATGCATGCATGCATTCATGCATACATACATACGTGCATACATGCGAGCGTGCGTGCGTGCGCACACACACACATACACACACATTACATTACATCACATTACATTACATACATACATACATACATACATACATACATACATACATACATACATACATACATACATACATACATACATACATACATACATACATACATACATACATACATACATACATACATACATACATACATAGGAATGAAAGGCAAAGTGAGCATGGTTCTCCTTGTTATTGATTGATTAACAGATTGTGCTCTAGAATACTCCTCAAGGTATTGACCTGTAACTTACTTTACTCTTCAGTTTTGTCAGAGCGGTATACGGATTTAAAAGTATTAAGAGCGTAGTTCATCAAAACATTTAAAAACAATTCTTTAACTGAGTGAATTCCAGTGAACGTATTGCCAAGTCCTTGGAATGGAGTATATTTCTGCACAGTAATACTTGAGATTTTTTTCCGCTAAGCTTGTTTCTATGTATATATGTTTGAATAGTTGGATCATTAATGTTATTTTGATTATTTGGGAGACAAATCTGTGTCTTTGATAAGAAAGAGAAAATAAAATTGCATATATTATCTGGTGAACACTTTCACATGACATATTTGTCTCGGCATATTTTAAGGCAGTACAACTGTTTTTAATGTTATTTCCATGCCTATAAGGGAACTCAGTTTTGACCAGGTGATAGATTGCTGTTAGTACTGAAACTGGATTAAAGACTCAAACTTGGCTATCAGAGGCATTGTTTGCGATTAAACTGATCAATTTATATAAATTTTACTTGATATTTCAACACTTGAGTATACAAATCTGAGAACTAAGCAAACAGCGATAGGAAAAACAATTATTAATATCTTATCATAGCTGGAGAATCATATTTAAAAGGAACTCTTTTGTGACAGGAAGCGGATTTATATCCCCCGGCAAAGTACATACATTGATTCCTTTGGGACATTTATCCACCAAAAGACTATAAAAGTCGATTTCAGTTCATTAGATGTAGGTGATGTTTGATTGATCTGCTGGCGATTGACTCTCTCTTACTTATTTCAATTTATTTTAATTTTAAAGAATCGATATATCCTAAAGTTTTACATGTGTTGTATTATTTGGATGTGAATATTATTATGTAGTGTTAATGACGTTGTGACAAAGACCAGTCCAAGAGTTAGTTCCTTGACAGTATCCATCAAACGAGATATAATTTATGATCTTCATAAAGGCTTGAGAAAAATACATGACACAGAACTGATACTTAATATTTGGAGAAAGTCGTTCCAGAGGTCTTGAAGGTTACGACCCATATATTAGAGTCATTTTCTTTGGCATTATTCAAGATGGCAGGTCGCACGTGGCAAGTGAGAAATAAAAAAGAATGTACACAGGAGGAGAATATCAGACAAATGGAGAACCTATACGGAAAGTCCCTCGGAGGGCAAGTAAAAGAAGCTCTGGAATGGTATAAAAAGGTAGTCATTGTCCTTATTATCTTTTTCGTTACAGTCTTTAGTGTATGTAAAGCCCGATCCTGTCTCGATCACACTTATGTTACTCTTTTGTCTTTTAGCACAGTTATACATCAATATCTAATATTGTGAAATAGGCCTTTCTTTTAGCGTTATAGAGAATATATATATATATATATATATATATATATATATATATATATATATATATATATATATATATATATATATATATATATATATATATATATATATGTATATATATATATATAGTTTTGTGTCAATACAGTAGACAAGTCTCCACCTATTGTTCATGGAGTGCTTTTACGTACGGTATTCTTTACAAGGAACTAACACTGATGTAACAGTTTTCGAATGTAATGTATGGCTACATATTTGAATATTAATATAGTCCCCTATAGTGAAAAAGAAATTGCAAGAGTTATTTCCTCTTCATCTATTCCACTGTTATCATAAACATTTCAATGAGGTTACGAGTGCTTGCGCAATTTTACGTACGCCCCAAACTGGTAAATAAAATAAATTTCTTTAGTATTTAATTTCATATTCCTTCTGTGTTAACTATTTATTGGTTACATAATTTATATCATATTTTAGCTAAATTTTATTGCATAGAGTTACATAATAGTAATACTAATGAAATAAATCTCATTGACCGAATGACGTCTTAACTGTGAAGCAGTTTGGTCTTCGCACGCAAGCGCAGAGTCTGTGCTATTAGTTGTTTATCTTTGGCAAGTATATTCTAAAAGGAGTGCACCTGTCATAGTATAGGAGGCAGAAAGTATCATACACTCACGGTCGTATGCATTCTATTGAGGACTGGACCAATTAAAACAAAATAGATCCTAATCTACCCTCGCATAAAGTTCCAACCGTTCAGGGTCCTTAGTGTTTGTTCTACTGATTATTCCACAAAAAAACTATATAGACCCAGATTTCCAGGCGCTTGATACAATGGTAGATCAATGTCTTTGCAGTTGGATTCTACTTTTAAATGTGTACAGACGGCAATTGAACGGGTCTAGACTTATAGGGGAGTACAGAAGGTAATTAAACGGGTCAAAAGACACAAACCATGTGTTGTATTCGTTACAGACTTCAGAGGAAAACTAACGTGTTACAACATGAAAGAGGAAAAGAAAATAAACATATAATTTAACTTGTTTAATAAATAAGGACAATTTCTATTACTTAAACCACACCGTACATATTCATAGATTGTTATTTCAATACACACCGACACCATTACACACCGCTACCCAATATATTTACATCAACCATACATTGAACTTTTAGAATGATATTCTGTGATCTCATACATACATCGATGCCATTATTCAATGTAGAAATATATATTTCAAAATTGATTCCACTTTTAAATGTCGCCATTTTTAACTGGTTCTACTGCAAAACAGGCTGTTCCCATGCCATAATGCCATAAAATAAAATAGCGGGCTGATCCCTAACCAAATAACTGATTATCGTGCATATCATTATACAAAGTGCACTTGCATATTTTTTGTCTAATCTCTAACGCAGTTTTACAATGCTCATATTTGTTATTTTATACAGTCAATGTCAAACGTGTCAAATACGACACTGACCTTACCTACGTAATATACTATGTGCATTAAAGGAAAGTTTGAAGAAAGAAAATCAAATGATCTTTCACAAGAATTGTTAACTTAGGAGATTTAGATGTCATACAGTGATTTCCATAGATATGAGTCTCTGAATTGTAGCGTGCCGGCCTCGAGACCGAAATAGTACGGGTTCGAATCCTAAAGTCGAACCAGCCTGGG